TGCTCGGCCTAGCGACGCGGTCACGCGCTCGTGGCGTGTGCGGGCGTACCCGGTTGGTGCGCGCGTACGGCGCGCGGGCCGTACGCGAGTTCGAGTCTCCGCGCCCGGGGGCAAATTCTAGGATCGTGTCGACGGAGAATGGGGAAGCGAAGCGTCCGAGAATCGCTCGGATCGAGGCGAAGTAACGCTTCACCCTTGATTCGTTCCCCCGGGTATGAGGAGTTCGGAGTGGCCCCTGCCGAGAAACACTCAGCCAAGAGTAGAGAAACGCTCTACTCCTGGGTATTTCGGGGCCACTGTGCGGATCGTGTCTGGATGTCTGCGAATCGAGACGCCACCGAGAATCACTCGGACCGAGGCAAAGCAGCTCTTTACCCCGGTGTCGTCGGTTCGTGAGACGGTCAGGATCTGGTGGTCTCCCTGGCTTCGGAGCCCCTTATATACCCTATCATTAGGGTATTCGGCCGCGATCGGCTCCGTTCGGTGGTTTCCGGTACCGTTACATGCTTTGCGGTAATGCCTTTGTCGGCTGGCCTTAAGTCGCCAGCCAACGACCTTTGGAATGCTTAAAACCTATGGGGCGCACCGCGCCTTCTTTGCCTGACGGTTCGTCGGGTGGCATCCGGCGGTTGTTCGGCCTGGAACGATGCACTTTTGGGGGTGTATCGTTACAAAATAAATAAAAATAAAATGTAAAAGAACAAATAACGTTCCATTAATCGAAGAAGCCTTTACCTGAAATAAAGAAATAATAATATTTATAAGGGGAATAGTGATGACAATTCGGGCGGCCGAGAAAAAATAAATATAATCCATGCGTTAGCATTTATTTTAATAATGGTTCAAGCATATATAGTTATTTTACAATTACGAAGAGAGGGTTCCGAAAGTAGGGCCAATCCATAAGTCACGTGATCACCTGTAACAAAAAAATACGACCTTAATTAATGATTGTGATCCATGAATTTTATTTTATTTGTATGTAAGAATCAGCGTACATAGTTGTTTTGGAATGTGATTAGCAAAAGATGTATCATCCGACCATCGGATGAATTAACCGGTCACGTGATTATCTGGAACAATGAAACAGAGCGTTAATTGGACAATGTGATCCATAAAATATTATTATTTTAGTTAATTTTAAGAAATAGAACAAGCGGCGAAAGGCTCCGAGCCAAAGTTGTCATCATACCGATAATCAAAAGGTTAAAGAGTCAAGTTATTGCAAAAATGAGTTTGTTTTAAAGATTTATCCACGCGAATCAATAAAAATAGCCAGGTAAAGTGATATGAAGTATTATCAAGACAGATAAAAAGAATTAATTATAATTTTAGTAGTTCGACATTGAGATGGTCGAACTTCAATAGTTTTGGGAACGTGATTCAGTGAGACGAGCCCAGACAATGGGTAAAGCGCCGGATTGGTTCGGCAAACCGACCAATCCGAGAACCAAGCAGCGAGCGTTAAAAATTATGTGCGCAGCAAACGCGGAGAAGGGGAAAAGCGACCGAGGGTATAAATATCGTTGCCCGGATGGCAACGAGGTCTTTTGTTCCGGTTCGGTTCGCGAGTAAACTCCGTGTAAGGAAAGTCCCGCAAAGTATTGCGTAATAAAAGAATTCGTTATTCAGCGAGCGTTAAAAACACCGACGAAAAAGCATCTCGATCGGACGCCGCGAATACGGAGATTTCGATTCCAAAACGGATC